TGGTGGAAATTCTCTCGCAACAAGTTCCATTGCCTCCCTGATTGGTACCATTGTGAACAATGAAACCACATCAAAACTCACAAGGATTTCCCCGGCGATTTGAAAATGTTCACTGCAGTTGAGGACGAAACGTCATGAAGAAATTCCGATAGACCACGGCTTCAAAGCCCGGAAAACATTCCTAAATGTAATAAATTAAATGTTGGAAATTAATTATGAATGTGTAGATATGAAGAAGACAAGCAAACTGCTATTTTCAAGTAATCTATCACCAAAATGCAACTGACGATATTAAATTGCTGTTGGGAAGGACATTGTCAATTGAAAGCGCAAATTTGATCGAAACACTTGGGAACAGTAGCAGTACTAGCGGTTTCTTAGCTTCTAGCTTAGGCATGTTTCGACTATAACGTAATGATATGCAATGAAAGCAATTTCTGAACATAGGCGAACATATAGAGAGGACGTAAATAGTTCCAATTTTCCAAGACTATTTTCGAATTGGTTCGCAATATATTAACAAGCAATTAACAATATCAGATTTTTCGCAAAAAATAGATAGCATGGATCTGAAGATAATACAGAAAATTGTTGACGATCTCTTACCAAAATATAAAACACCCAACGTCGATGAATAAAACAGAAGCATTCGAATTAGATAGAGGATTTTGGTAGGGATGCGTATTCTTGCCATTATTGCTGTACATCTATTCAGAGTCATGTTCAAAGGACTGAAAGGAAAATAAGAAAACCCATTGATTGGTACACCAATAATATAAGGTACACTGATGACACCATTGTGTTTGTGGACAGTCAACAAGGTCACGATAGTTTCATCCTCAGAATGAATAAATGCGGTCTAAATGTAAAAACAAAAGCGATAATTTCTCAATATCCAGCAACGGCTAGCAGTTAGTTGAGGAGGTTGGGAACCACTCACAAGAAAAACGGGACGAAATAGAGGTTCAGGAAGAAAGATCCTTTCTAAACATCCTCAGGAAACGAACCGAAGAAACATCTTTATGGATGGAGCCGAAGAAATTCTCAACGAAGTATTGTGCTGCAGTC